AGACGCCCACTTCAGAGACGATTTCAGAGAGCAAGATCAGCGGACTCCATGACAGCCTCTTCAAACATGGTATCAATCAACTTCGCCTTGTGCTCATCCCTAGGCTTGATGTCAAACACGAAGGGCGCCGGTCGTGTAATGAGCAGGTCAGTCCAGTCAGAAACGTGTACTGGGATATCTGTTGATGCGTCAGTAAGCTTTCTATTGGATGCGAAGATTGTTGTTGATACATACCAACTCCGATCTTATTCTTCTTCTTAGAAACATCGAATGCCCAAGCCAAGGATCCCATAATGGTGACCAATTGGTAGTCAACAATCTCCATACCCATACAGTTGCGACGGCCATAGCCAAAGACATGGTGGTTGATAACATTGGGATACTTGGTGAGAGGCTCTTTGTACGTTGGATACTTCGGGTTCAAATAGCGATCAGGGTTGAACTCTTCGGGATTTGGGTATAGAGCCTCATCACTGCGACGTGCCCATTCGGTAGCGTGGACGAGTGTACCCTTCTCAATCAAATACCCGTCGTAAACATCATCCCTCTCGGCTTCGTGAGGTACACCGGTAGGGACAGGTGGCCTCCAGCGGATCAGCTCCTTTCCGACAGCCCTGAGAATAGGAAGCTTGGGCGCATCAGCCCATGTGGGAAGACGGTTGGGACCGCAGACTTCGTCAATCTCCTCCTGAAGTTTCTTCTGCCACTGAGGGTAATGGCACATCGCCAGGAAGAAAGTCTGAATAGGAGAAGACATGGGTAGCGATGCTGTGATAGCAAGCATGCCCACAGCAAAAGCGCCCTCCTTGTCGTCCTGGACTCCGCTCGGGAACTTAAGACGCTTCTGCTCCTGAAGAAACGTGCGTGACCATGAGTAACCGTCGATACCAGCTTCCATCTTGGATTTGACTGCTTTCATTGCACCTACCCAAAACTCCCTCTGGGCATCGTGGCGCTTCTTTTCCCTCCAATACCAGGGGTTGAGAACATTTGGTAACAGCATTATGATCGGTAGTTTATTTGGCAGCTGTCCGGCAGGTGATATAGCAGATAGAAGACCAGAGGAGCTTTTGTTCAAAGCAGTGCTGAGGCTAGCGTCTTCCCATGCTAGACGAGCACTGACGCGATGTGTGAACTCCTCAGCAAGTCTAGGGTAGTTTCGGTTGTCCCTCTTCAGCTGGTACATCATTCTCTTAATTTCGAGATGAGTAAAACCATACATGTCGTAGTTGTAGGTCTTTGCGAAACACTCGTGGGCGAACTTTCGATGCCTTGTAAGCGCCTCTGTAGGCCACTCAGTCAGCGATACATCAAGTAGAAACCATTTGATGCTTACCATTGTTATCCAGTAGGGGAAGATACTCAGCATCAGTCTTAGCACCAGGAATGTTTGGTGTGGGGGCACGGTTGGAATAGTAAGCACCACGTTTGGCGAGAAGGTCTTGAGCCATCTTCTCGCTATTGATTCGAATATGCTTGGTACCGAATAGCGTCAACTGGTAGATCGGACCATATTCATCATGCTTCCAAGTCATTAGTCGAAACTTGAAACCATTTGGAGATATACTCACCCAGTCTGCAAACTTCTTGTAAACGTTAGTCGAGGGCAATTGAAAGATAGGCCCGACCCATGGTATTAAACCTTCATAATCATGTTAGTGGTGATAATACTTTTTTTTTCAGAAAATTACCTTTCGGGCCGGGGATCGTTTTGTATTGGGCTTTCTTTGGGTCATTCCTGACGAGGCGGATGATAGCCCAAAGAACAGCACTGATTGCACTAAAGGCAATGGCAGGGGCGAAGACAGAAAGCAGAGACTGCGATCCGGTCTGAATCAGTCCCTCAATCATGATGGATGTTCTTGAGAAGGGAGAGTGAACTGAGGTTGGAGGTGAGTATGTTCTATCGCCCTCTCTGCTACCTTTTTATCTTCTTACTCACTCTCAGCTTCCTCCTCAGTCCGGCTTCCGTATCCCCACATTTGCATGCTCTTCTTGGCTCAGCCTTCTCCCTCCAACACTGCAATTGCATACAAATCACGGTACAATCCACATGAAGCTTAACGTGGATGTATCATCACGAGGTCCGAGGACTCGCGCCAGCCATAGAGGTCGGTGTTGCGACTACCGGCCAGCCGACAATCATGGAGCGGGTGTGGAGAGCCGAATGATATTTGGAACAGAACAGTGTAGACCATATCGTTTTGTTCTAGTATCTGGAGCAGTAAGACTGAGCCGAGATTGAAGTGAGCTCTGTTCATCGATCGATACAAGGTATCATGTTATCACGTGATGCACAGCACTAAATGTCTTGGCGAACATCGACGTTCTTACTGCAAAGCTTGCTCTATTCGTGGTATGATGTCTTATTCTCGATGATTCTAGTTTTTTGATTGGCTGTTCCTTCGCTGATAGCTATTAGCCTCCATCCAGTGGGATTGCGGATGTCCGCTAAACAGTCGGCAAGCCACCGAAGTAAGCACCAAGAAACCGATGGCGCCATATCGGCGGACATCCGCGATACCACCACTTACTCACAACCCCTGGTGTCAGCCTACATCGCAGCCGTTTCGTGTATCTAAGCCCCATTAGTGCGTGGGATGGCTCCTAGCGATCAAAGCTGAGCCAATCGGGTCAGCGTAACGATGCTGTGGCTTTGGACTGATGCCTTTCTTAGTTACAGGAGCCGCTAGATGCATAGAACCCGGCAAGGGAGAGACTTTATCGATCTATGGCATGGGCCAAAGAACTCAGCTGTGGCCCCAAGTTCTCAGTAAAATCCGGCTGAAGCTGTGAATACCGCCGCCCATCAGGGCAACACGCTGGGTTTGCAGTGGTGAGGCGTCGTGGCTATGACTCTAGCTCTTTACTCTTTCTATTATTCTTACGATCGAATACGATATTGGACCCAAAGACCGATTTGATAGAAGATACCAGGTCCATATAAAATGGTACTACCAGAACCCATTCCAATGGTTACCACGTTGTCTTTGTGTGTATCCCTCATCCCTGCCGCACACGCATTGCATCTTTAGCGCTCCATCATTATCATTCTATTACCATGAAATCCTTGGCATCCATCGTTCTTGTCACGTTTACCCTTGCACAACATGCACTTGCGGTCACCTCACAGCAGATCCACATAGACTTGGCCAAAACCCTGTCGTCGGGATCTGAGGTGGTATTAACGACCGACCCTTCCTACGCAACCAGCTTTACACAAAGATGGACCGTCTACTCCAAAGCTGAGCCATCTTATGACATTGCTGTGAAGCCCGCCACCGCTACAGACGTCCAAAAGATCATCCAATATGCAACCATGAACAATGTTTCATTCTTGGCAACGGGCGGTGGGCACGGTTACAGCACTTCTTTGTCTGGCGTGAAGGGGGCACTCAACATTGATTTGAGTAAATTCAGAAAAGTGACTGTGGATGCTGCAGCCAATACTATGACTGTTGGAGCTGCTACAATTTTTGCTGATATGCTCGATCCGTTGTACGCTGCTGGCAAACAAATGCGTAAGTTCCAGCGAGTTTCATAAAGAAACAGTATTGACATGACATGCAGCATCTGGTGGGTCTTCAACGCCCAGCATCATAGGCGTTACCTTGGGTGGGGGTATCGGGCCCCTGACTGGTGCTTACGGTCTATTGATCGACTCCCTGCTCTCTGTTGAGATGGTAACTGGCTCCGGTCAGATCCTCACGGTATCGGCTACTAAAAACTCCGATCTTTTCTGGGGCATGAGGGGAGCTGGAGTTAACTTCGGCATTGTCACTTCGGCGACATACCGGATCTACGATACGATCAACAATGGTATGGTGTACAATGCCGACATGAGTTTCAACGGAGAGAAGAACGAGACGATTTTCAAGATTTTGCGCTCCTACCAGGGAACTCAAGACAATAAGCTTGCACTTTCCGTATCATCTTCTGTCAAAAACAAAGTTGTGAGTCTTACCACCTGTCCTGCAATGTACTAGCTAGCCTGGCTAACATCTGCAGCCCGAGATCAGTCTTAGCGCGATTTACTTTGGCACTAAAGAACAAGGCGATGCAGCTATCAAAGCTTTCCTTGACCAACAGCCGACATTCAGCAACATCTCAGTTGTACCCTACAACAAGCTGGTTTACGTTGCAAACTTTGGTGGCGACGCGTTCGCTCGCATAAAGGGTGTTAGAGCTGACCTGTGGGGTTACCAACTGAACGATGTTACGGTATCCACACTCAGTAGCACATACACAAAGTTTGTCAACTTTGTTCTCGACAACCCTGCACTTGAAAACTCGGCATCTTGGCTAATAGAGAAGTTTGGTTTGGGAGTTACCGCAACCATTCCCGACGACTCTACTGCGTATGCGTGGCGCAAAGCTGTTGCCTATGGCTTTTTCGCGTTTTACCTGCCTGAAAACGTGTCTGAACAGATGACGACCACTGCTGATCAGTTCGCCGAGAAGATCCGCAGCGATTTGGCTTCGGGCTGTGGAAATCCTCAGCGTAACGTATTCCCTAACTATGCACGGGGTACCGAGACGCCAGAGCAGGTTTATGGCAAGTCAAAACTACCGAAGCTACGATCCCTGAAGAAGAAGCACGATCCGAAGGGATTGTTTAACAAGTATAATTCCTTTGCTTGAGTTAGATTTGGGCACTCTACTGCATACAAATCGGGGCAGCCCTTTTTCTTTTTTTATCTTTGTCTCCGCGCGTAGTGTAGATCTGAATTGCCTCTACATAAGAGCATAAATTTGAAGTTTCTATGTCATTACTCCCCAATTTTGCTCTACATCCGTTCTGCTACACGTGTCGGTTGACTTCCACAGATTCGGGAAACTCATTGCGACTAGTGGGAATAGCAAATAAGTTTGCTTATATTTGTCGTAAACCTTCCAATTTTAATCTTAACATGTTTGGTCCCCAAGACAACATATACAAATCAAACTCCTAATGAAACCCAATCCTTAAAAACTTTTCCTGGTGCGGAATTGTGAGGGACTGGTCCAAATACGAGAAGATGTGTCTTGATAACATTCATCTTCCTAATTCCTTATCACCGAGTTGTCGGCAATGTCATCTATGTATGACTATCAAGCAGCAAATATTTTGGACGAACTCTCCCTTGCGCAGATATAGGAAAAAGGAAATAAACTCAATTTTTAGACGTTACTAATGCAAATAGACACCGGATACTCATTTCCATGATAACACCACCCCATCTAACACTCTAAACCCCAGAAAATGAACAACACTCCTCTACATCCTTCGTCATTCTCCACATACTCTTGATGTCTCACACCTTTCCCAGCTCACTGACAACCGCACTATAAAGCCTCCTTTCAATCCCCAATATTGTATTATTGGCTTTCAGTACACATCCACGACGCACACTTATGCCAAAACGGCTGCTGCATTAACCAGCACAACTCCAGAGTACAAAACGATCCTGAAGCGGTTGAGCCATCCCCAGTACGCAATCTTATCATGGTACTAATCACACAAACACACTCTTGTCAGCTATTGAGCAAACACATATGAAAGAAAAAAACTTACAATAGCAGTCTGCATGCCTGCATCCTTCTCCGGCAAATCCGCATAATGAAACTCCTCCTGCTCCTTGAACTTCTCAATCAACGCATCATTAACCGGATTCATATAATGCAGCGTAAAGGGGAAGATCAAAAACGCCATGACGCTGCTGGCGACGTAGAGCATGGTCGTTTTATTGGAGAAGAAGCCAGATTTGTCAGAGGAGCCGTAGGCGAGAATGAGGGAGAGAATGAGGTTTGAGGCGCTGAGCGTGGTGGCGGGAACTTGGGCGCGGCGGAATTGCGTGTGCCATTGGCGGATGGCGAGGATGGGCGAGGGAGAGATGAGGACGGAGGGGATGGAGATGCTGCTTAGGGCGGTGTTCATGCCTAGCAGGAAAGTGGCTTGCACCAGAGTGCCGACTTGGAGGGTAGTGAAGGAGATCATGATTGAAGTTGGATGTGATGGTGGTAGTTGGAGAGGGAAGAAGTAGGGGATTGAAGAAATGGATAAGCAAGCAACGTGATGTGACTGTTGTGACAGAGGCAATAATTTGAGCGTTTATATCTAGACGTTGGAGTTTGTGATTGTTACTACGGATGTCCCATGGTGTCTTCCCCTCATGTCCGATGTTGCATCTCCATCTCCAAGTCCTACACTCCCACACACAAGCCGCAGAGGTGATACGGCTCTCCATACGCACCCCGTACTATCTTGCTCCGGAGATCGAAAGTAAACTCAACATCGTGCATCGATGGTCGGTGGTCGGTGTTCAGAATTATCATCACACTATTGTTGAAGTTCGACCTCAGCACCGTCTTGGCAGGGACATTGATACAGCGGAGTGTCTTTCGTCACGTGACATTTCACGCTACGGAGTTCCGTACAACGCCAACACAAATGCAGGACAACGACAGTGGGCCAGCAGCAATGCAGCTGACAAACAAAAATAGCGAAGACGCAGTACCGGGGCCCCGAGAATCCGAATTTGTAATAGCGGGTGAAACAATAGAAACTACGATCCACGGCGATGGCGATTTCGATTTCGATCGTGACGTTAACTGTGTGACTGTGCCGCATTACAAGCAGTCGTATTTCAGCCCCCAGCCGCACCTTCTTCCTTCGTGCGCAGATGCTTTTCACGCTTGAGCTGAAAAAAATCCCCTCACGATCCTGTAAGCCATCAGCATAGCCGTTTACATCAAAGTCCTCCATCCAAACCCCCACGCGCCATAACGCACCTACGACACACACACACACACACACATCCATCCATCCATCAAAACACGCATAGACATTTAATTCCACCACATTTCACTAGACCAACCACAATGGCGAGCTTCCCCACTTTTCTCAAGTCCCAGCTCTTCTACAAGCCCAGACTACCGGAGCCAGAAACATTTGCTGGCAAGACGGTCATCGTTACAGGCGCCAACACAGGTCTTGGCCTAGAAGCAACACGGCACTTTGTCCGCTGCGGCGCCACAACCGTCATCATCGCATGCCGCACGCTCTCCAAAGGCGAAGCCGCCAAGCGCGACATTGAGGAAAGCGAGAAGCGCAGCGGTGTGCTCCAAGTCTGGGAACTAGACCTCTCCTCGTACGCCAGCGTCAAAGCCTTTGCAAAGCGCTGCGAGACGCTCCCGCGTCTCGACGTCTGCGTCGAGAACGCCGGCATAGCAACCGGCAAGTTCTCGCGCGCAGAAGGCCACGAAGCCCACATCACCGTCAACGTGATTTCCACATTCCTGCTCGCACTGCTGCTCCTGCCCATCATGCGCAGGTCAGCCTTCTCAACGGGAACAACGCCCTATCTCACCATTGTCACATCAGAGGTCCACCACTGGACTCAGCTGCCGCAGAAAAAGGAACCCAGCATCTTTGCTGCGCTCGACGATGAGTCAAAAGCAGACATGGCAGACCGCTACAATGTCTCCAAGCTGCTGGAGATTCTCGCGCTCAGGTACATGACTAGAGTGCTGATTAAGGACCGTGCAAAGTATCCCGTGGTCATCAATTGCGTTACACCGGGCCTGTGCAAGTCGGATCTCGTCAAGGACATGGGTATGGCGCCTGTTGTGTTCAAGACGTTGTTGGGTCGCACAGTTGAGGTTGGCAGCCGCACGTTGGTTAACGCGGCGGCGCTACCTGATAGCGCCGGCGAATACATCATTGATGATCACGTGTCTGAGCCGTCGACGCTGGTTATCAGTGAAGAGGGCGCAGAGTTATCCAAGAGGGTTTGGTTCGAGTTGGCAGATATCTTGGAAAAAGCTTCCCCTGGAGTGACCCAGAACATTACTGCCTAAACTTCTGAATACACTGCGTACACAGTGTTGTGCCAGTATGTTGCAGGCGTACTGTTTTGGGGACACGTGACTCTTATCATCGTATGATTGTCAGTGAGATGTTTGGGGAACGGTACAGCGACAACACTGCGATGGCATGAATTCTTCTTTCTTTCTTTTTCATCTCTCAGTCTTTGTTCGGGTCTTGTATTTCCGTTCTATTCTTCTATTTACCTGCTACCACAACCTCTCTGCTAAAATGTTTCATTGCGGAAAGGCGTCCTTGTTCACATGAGGGATAATGAGAACATACCTGGCTGGTAACTCAGCTCAATTTATGACAAATCAATTCTAACCAAATGCTCTTGGTCGATTCTCCGTAAGCTAATGCAATGACAATGCCAAGTCGTGATTCTTTTCAGCTCCATCTGTGGAGAAAATACCGAGCCTTTTCAAGCACACTGCTGACAAGATGTGTGGGGTGGTTCTCCAGCTTGCTGATGCAATACAGCAAGCTGTTGCCGCCCTCAAAGATTGGTAATCGTCTGTTGTCGGGAAATGTGACGACCGGGGTAACCGCAGGGGTATTGAGAAAGCGTTCCTCATCGCTGGGTAGAAGTGCGTCAATACCCACTTCCCGGGACTGGATCCCCGAACTCAATCGCTCTATCGTCCTAAGCGACCAGCAGGCCATGGATGCGCGGTAGATCGCTACCGGCCACCAAATGGGTCGCGCGTCGACCGGTAGATTGTCGATAAGCCGGAAGATCTGGCCAGCATGGAACAAGATGTAGTTCCCTCCTTCGGGATAGCGTACCCGGCTCCACATCTCAGCGCATGCTGATGCTGATGTTGGAGGCTCCTCCTTGGCACATTTCTCAATGTCAGGAATGCTTGTGCATACATTTAAGCTAACCATATGCAGCATGATGATGCCCGTCCAATCCACTGGAACGGCCCAGGGTTTGTTCTCACTGTCCATGGCAGTCTGCGAATGTCGATTGAGAAGTGCAGCCAAATCTTGGACTAAATCCTGTGTCTCTTGTAGGCGGCCTAATACCTTAGTCTTGGAAAGAACACGATGCCTATTGGTCGATTCATCGTTATCGAAGATGCGAAGAAGCTGTTGCTGTTCCAGGACCATGGCTTGTAGGGGGTGGAGAAGGAGACGCAGATGATGTGGAGGTACATCGTCACTACCTGTTAGTCGACCTTGGAGAAAACTCCGGAAAAGACCGTTCAGTGACGGTAGCTCGCGACCCGTTTGGATCTCGTTTGCACCAGGCTGTCCAACCCAGTCATTGTACGATTGTGCGTTCCATAGATTACCATTATTAGGTAAAGGCACTTGCAAATCGCAGTTTGAAAGCACTGGAGGAACATCATGAAGCAAGCTTATCTCAAGGTCCACATAGACCCATGCATGTACATGGCTACAAAGGTCAGATCGGACCACTTGATCACGTAAAAAAGGATTCTTACCGATTTTTTGTCTCAACCTCTTTCCATCTCTCCCATAGGCTCTGACCATCTAAGCCGTGGTCGTGAAAATCGTGCTCGGGATTTAAAATTCCACTGCTTTTCAACAGCTAGCGGATCTGTTAGCATCCTATTTATGTCTTATCCAAGATAACAATAACTTACACTTAGGTACTGGCCTCGTTTGGACATGGCATACTGATTTGTGTTAGCTTTACGCAAGAGAAAAGTAGACTTGATACATACCGAAATAAAAGAACTCTTCCCGCTTCGCACACAGAGTGTAAGTAACTGTAATGCAACCCCTCCTACCATTGGCTGTGATATGCATCGGCGCTCGAGAACGTGGTTCAGTGCAACCATACACACCTCAATCAAGCCATGTGCGAATACGTGTGACTCATGGTAATCTGTGAGCATAGCGCCATGTGTAATGACAAGAATGATCAACAACATGCCTACGTCGACCGCGTCAATATTTAAGATATCTTGGATATTGGCGGTTGGGGAGCCAGGGAGACCAAGGTACGGTTGAACCGAGTCAATGCGTGCTGCATAAATCTCGATAAAGTGCATCAGCACGTGCGACGGAGGCAGCGATACAATGCGGCCGAACAAGCCTTCGGTCGACGATGATGGCGAGCTGCCAATTTGTAGCGCACGTTGGAGCAGCAGCTGTACAGTTGCCACTATTCGATCTCGAGCGTCATGCGACAAGGCCACAGTACCATCACCCTTGTTAGTGGGTAGCCCATCCCAGGCATCTGGCCGGGCCAGGACATGCACTAGTTCACCGAGTACATCATCTGTTGCGTCTGAGCTGCCTATTGGTATATCCCGGTTCTTCTTCTTCGGACTGGAAGTATATTGGCTATTCATCGAGCCTAATGGCATACTCGACTTGATTTGGGGACTTGTGAAAGGCGGAGTCGGGGGGTGGTTGGGACCGTGGAAGAGCCCCTGTTGCTGCTTGTACAAGCCATCATTCCCAGGTCCGCGCGGAGAGAGCTGAGGTTCGTTTGTTTGCATCTCCGAACGTGACATAGACGGGAAGAGATGAGAAGATGTAGTCCCGTCCATAGGCTCGCTACCTAGGGACACGGGATATGGAAATCCCATGAAGGCCTCGTAACCAGTAAGATCCAGTTGTCCTTGGGGCAAAGTCGTATCTACAAACATGTATAGTTCACTGTTGTTTGTTTGATCTTCAGGCATGAAATAGGCAGGAAATTGATCCATTGTTGCGTTTTGATTGCCATCTTGGCCAACGGTGTTTGTTGGCGTTGTCAAGGCCTTACTGCGCGCAGACGGCGTCCGAGAAGCTCTCGGCCGGCGCGAGGAGCACCTTGGTTGGCATACATAGTTTCTTGCGACACACTGAGAGCATGGCACCTAGTTGCTGCGTTAGAGGCCGTGCCAGATGGTCCAGGATTCCGAGTTCTCGGTGCTTGAGTAGCAAGTCGCCTGACTAACCTTACGGTCACATCGTGCTTTTGAAATGGCACACCGGGTGCAAGCGATGAGAGAAGCAGTATCCATCTTAAAGTGATGTCGAGATTACCAAGTAGCAGGTAACGTACCGGGATATAAAAGTGAATATGGCGGGACAGTGGTCTCCACTGCCTGCAAGGAAAACAAGGAACGACGCACAAAGATGGGACAGATACCGGTGAGTGCAGGAGGATGCGAGTATGTAGGGTTGTGGGCCCAAGCTACCCATGGGAAATATGTCGTTCACTGGCGGTTCCGTCCACTTCCTTGAACGTGTACCTGAACGGGGTGCTGGGATCTGTCTCCGATGTTACGAGCAGGGGTCGTCAGCTTTCAGGCGCCAGACCCACGGGTTTATAGCTAGTGGATTTCCCAAAACATGTTAGATTATGTAAGCATGCCTACCCAACATGCATCAGGTTGCAGCTTGTAATTATGGCTGTCGAATCAGCGATGCATGTCTAGAAGACCTGCCATAAATGGAAGTGCTCATGTACCCGTATAGGTCCTGTATTTTAAGTTGATGACTAGTGTAATGATTCGAGAGCTTTTTGAACTAAGGTCATCATTGGTCTGGAGCTTATCTTCTAGGACAGACTGGGATCATCCAAACCCATGTGTATGGGCAGAATACGAGCTGCAACATGGTATGCTTGCAATGCAACTCAGACGCTACGCTGATGGGTTGGCTAAGGCAACGGCTCAGTGCCACGGCGCCACACGACATGGAAAATGTGCAACATGGTACATGACAGTTTTTTAGGAGCCGAGTAGTTACATATCGCGACACTAGCTCAATAGCGCTCCACCCGGACTCTCAAGCTAAGCAAGGGAGGATCACACAGACGTGTATGTGTAAGTATGTGGATGCCTTTTGCATACCGCTGTTAGTCTAGGAGTTCCGTGGATATTTTAGTACGTGCGTATGTCTTGGGTTTAGCTGCGTTGTCCGTTCGTTGACCACGTCGAACATCTGTTTTTAAAACAGCTAGAAACAGCGGCTATTGAAAACCACCATTCTTTCCAGAGCGTAATCAAAATAGATCTGGACGGTCTTTTAGTGTAGCTTACAGATGGCGGACACTGCTAACACAAGCTGTGTTTACAGCTTGGCCGAACGACACTCTTTTCGTATCTCAGATCAACTTTCGCCAGATCATAGCAGTATGAGGGGACGTCTCTAACTATCCCCAATCAGCTTATTAGCAAGGTACATAATTCCTAAGGTACCAGAGTAGTTGCTCTCCTAAGAGCGATCCCTTGTGCAAAACGGAGTTCTCAATTCACAAGCGTTGCTCAATGTTTATAAAATCTGTTAAGATTTAGTTAGTTTTATTTTAATTTTCTCTTCTGCCACCAAAATAACCATTTGCTGAATTAACATCCGTTAGAGGGTTGCCCTGTTGTTGAAATCCGTTTTATAGCATGAATGCAGGGGATGTATAGTTCCTAGACAATACTGCTATTTGGGGTAACTAAGTGGTAACTCAATACATGCTTTCTTTTCAAGTATTTGTCGCCCAGATAGATCCACGTACCGAGCTAAACCCGTCATGGTCTTCCAAATGTTACCTAACACGGTATTGTAAACGGGAAGTGAGAAATAGAGTACTAAGTCATGCCCCCGTAGCCCCACGCTAACACCTTAGCGCCGCATTACTAACTGCACGCCTCGAAGGCCGCCCATCGTGCGGCGGGTGCTTGCTTACTATGCGATAAGCACTGTCTCAGCACACCATGCATACATGGCCGATGAACAATTTTCCTGTCGATCGATCGCACTGCAAAGTCTTGCTCTACATTTAGTAGTTAGGTAAACCACTAAAACTGCTTTCATGCACGGATGAGAGAGAGGCTGACATGCAACTCACGCAGATAGGCATATTCGTCATTATCATCATACTAATCGGTCCCCGAAATCCGACCGTCCACGCGGCTGCCATGTACATACTTACCATGTATGTCCCAATGAATAGCGTCGAGACGTGCCGCCCGCCTATCCCCGCATACTAATCCCCTTTCAAGGGTAACCCACCAGGTAGGCGCCGCGTCGGCAAAGCTTGATCAAACTCAATGCAAGTGTTCATATCACGACCCTCAACCGTTAGTGGTAATGCAAGTCATGACTGCATAACTCTCCTTGCCCCGTACCACCAGAGAAAGACATGTGGTTGTCTGCCCCGATTCTCAGGGCCCCCCACACCAACTCAGGCATGCTCTTCTTTGCAAAGTCATCAAGCTAGCGACGAATAAGGAAATGCACTTGTAGAGAGAATGCGGATTTACGCATGCAGGGCCTAAGAGTGCCGGTACATGGGGGCGTGGGCCGGTTGGCCGTGTCTGCAGGCGCGGAAACACGTTTCATTATCTCTATACCCGTTTAGAAGGTGTTCTTAGCTCTGAACCACAACCGACGGTATTAGTAGATAGGTGCGATATACGAAAAGAATGAAGAGAAGAACAAGTATTGCCGAACTTGCCGGTGGGTGCCCAAGGCCCAATGGCGCAAATGCCGAGGCTTATTACCTACGCGAAATGACCGACAAAGTCATCCTTCTCCGCTTCCCGATCAGCCCCATCCCACGGTTTTGTTCGAAACAAAAATGGGTTGCAGGGAAGGATTGCGGCTCATGCAGTCTACTGTGCCCGTCTCGGGCCGACGGTTCTTCCATACCAACGCATCGGCGATCCACTCGGAACATTCAGTGATCGAGGATTTGTATGTATCTGCTGGCACCAAATCGGGCAATGGTGCTTGGATTGAAAGCTTCAATCGTCGATATCCTGCAGTTTTTCGCTTGGGCCTGCTCACTCTGCCCCCCAAACCTCGTAGACTCCCCCCGTCAGCATATGATATGTATGCATCGGCTCAGGGTAAGAATGCGGATGGTGCATCGCCGCATGCATTGTAAGTATAAACTTACATCTCTGTGTACACATGTCAAGGGTCTGCATGCTGGATGGACAAGGTCTTGAGAACCCTTCTTTATCGCTTACTGTTCTGGTATCTGGGTACGTAGCCGAGCTTCAGTCAAGTAAGACCCGGTAGCATCACACCCAGCCCAAAACTGAGTACGATGACTAGTGGGGTACTCTTTCCGACACGCAATCAGCCTATTTTCCGCAAATTTTACGGTCGCGATCATGGAAGTCGATCCACTCTTTGTCAGATACATATCCTCCCGTTCCTGTGGGTGACTACTCCGTAGGAAGCCTAGAATCCGTTTGAATGAACGAAATCGGGCCAGACTAGGTCGCCGAATACAAACGAACATTTGCGAGATGTATTCCTGGGGCGCAAATCTAGGCTGCTCTCGGAAAGATAAATTCACACGACCATTGCATGTGGCATATTCAGCGCGTGCCAAGATGGGCGGTACGTCCCGATTGCCGTCGTAGCGAGTCTGCCGTGCATAAATAGATATTCCTTTCGCTTGCATACTAGGAAAAATACAAGTCCATTATGCAATGCTGAATCCATAGACTTCCGATACTGGTTGGTACACCTCGTCCGGACAAGGTTCTGAACGGCGACTACAAATTCAGCGGGCTGCAGTAACAACAAAGCCACTGACAAGGCCACTCCAGAACGACAGCTCACTCGGATCGATCCCCCAGGTCATCTGCCATCAGTGCGGTTAAACTGCCAACAAAAAAAACAACGGCAGATCAAGGTGCAGTTCAATGTGGATTCGAGTACTAGACGGCCACGTAGGATAGTAGACTTGTCGGGGCATCGAAAAACCCTCGGCCCTGTAAGTATGGAAGTCGGAAAGAATTAACGTGCGGGGAGAGATTTAGATATCTGTGAGAGTGTAAGTCAACGTACCGATAGAGGCGATATGCAAGGACGACGATTTGGCTGGCAGAAGGAGGATTGTATATTGTACCAAGCCAACTCCTACGTCGTGTTCCTTTCCATCCTCACATGTCAAATTCCGGAGTTTTTGAGTGCAACAATGTCTGTTTGAAAAGGTCATTATCTTCTTGAAGCTTCGTCATGTAGCTCAACGCCTCCCATCTAGATCCGTTTTGCTCGTTCTGCTAAAGTACACGATGAACGTCAAATGAGAAGTGGAGAGCAGAGATACGTCCGACACAGTGATTAATATACAAATGGCCCCCTCCAGGCTCGACGATGGGGTATGCTCGCATCATGCTCCGATCATGCTCCGTCATTCTAGCGGACCAACTTACTCCAGAACACGCGTCACCAAACCAGTAGCGACTGTCCGGCCACCCTCACGCATGTTGAAGCGCTGGCCAGTCTCCAAGACGTGTGGTGCGTGGAGCTCACAAACCATCTCGACGTTGTCTCCAGGCATGACAAGTTTCTCGTGGGCATCCTCGGTACCTTCGGGCCAGAACAGCGCACACGACTCATCGGCAGTGCGGATGAACATTTGTGGCCTGTAGTTCTCGCCGAAACCAGTGTGACGACCACCCTCCTCCTTGCTCAAGACGTACATGGAGACGAGGAACTTCTTGTGAGCCTTGACCTGTCCGGGGACGGAAACGACCATACCACGACGAACTTCGTCACGCTTGACACCACGTAGAAGAAGACCGGAGTTGTCACCAGCGCGAGACTCTTCACAAGACTTCTTGAAGGTCTCAATGTCGGTAACCTTGGTCTTAATGGGCGCGGTACCCTTGCCGACGAGCTCGACTTCAGCATCGCGCTTCAGAATACCTCGTTCAACACGGCCAGAGACAACGGTACCACGACCAGCGATGGAGAAGACATCCTCGACGGCCATGAGGAAAGGCTTGTCAGTCTCGCGCTGAGGGGTAGGAATCCATGAGTCGACGGCCTCGAGCAATTCATCAATCTTGGTGACACCAATCTCCGGCTGGCGGTTCTCGATGGCACAGAGGGCAGAGCCCATGACAATGGGGGTTTCGTCACCCTCAAAGCCATAGCTACTGAGCAGCTCGCGCATCTCCATCTCGACGAGCTCCAACATCTCTTTGTCCTCAACAGCGTCGACCTTGTTGACGAAAACAACAATCTTCTGGACACCGACCTGGCGAGCGAGCAGCAAATGCTCACGTGTCTGGGGCATTTGACCATCGGAAGCGGCAACAACAATAATAGCACCATCCATGTTGGCGGCTCCAGTAATCATGTTCTTGATGTAATCAGCGTGACCTGGGCAGTCGACGTGGGCGTAGTGGCGGTTTTCGGTCTGGTACTCAATGTGGGCAGTCGAGATGGTGATACCACGCTTGCGCTCTTCGGGGGCCTTGTCAATTGAGCCATAGTCGAGGTATTTGGCAAAGCCCTTTTCTGCTTGTCGCTTGGTGATGGCGGCTGTGAGAGTGGTCTGCAGCGTGTCAGTCTGGTGACGTCTATGACATTTGGTGGGATGTATTGTACCTTTCCGTGATCGACGTGGCCAATGGTACCTGGAAGTAATCAGCAAAGTCACGTCTGGCCTGAATAACAATACACATACCAATGTTAACGTGAGGCTTGTCTCGTGTGAAGGCGGCGTAGTTGCGGACACCGTTCATCCACCTGCTGGTGCCCTGCGCACCCAAGGCATTTTGCACTGGCGAGACGCCACGCTGGTACTGCACTGCAGCACGCGAAGTGCGCAGGAAAACCTTTGAAAAGCTTGACATGATTGACCCGATCACAGGACGCGGAAGAAGCGAAGGCAAGGCAATTGGCCAAGATGGCGATGTTGGAGGAGGGCGGCGAGACTCAAATCATTTTCTTAGCGCGAGAAGATGCTTACGCTGGCCATCGTCCAATCAGATGAGGGGGAGATCCGAGCTCGCCCACGCTGCATCGGCGGGGCATCACATTGCGGGCAGCAAAGACACAACTGATTTATCTTCCTTTTTTCTCTACTCAGTTTGGGCTTTCTCAACTCACCGGCAAGGTTGAGAGGAATCAATCTCACCATCTCGGCGTGTAGGCTAGATCCGCCGGTTGCCCAAGGTGGTGCCGGCCTCGACATCTCAATTTGCGGGTACTTAGTACGTACGTACCCGAGGCTCAACTCGGTCGGTAGCGTCGGTGAAAGTTACATCGTCATATCCCAAACACCACATATGTCTCTCAGTACACTGACAAGAGCGCCGCTGAGCTGCGTCTCGCGGACCCGTGCTACTTGCATCATGCCATTGCGTGCAAACATCACAAATCCCGCCTGGAGGAGCGGGTCAAGACTGGTATAACGGCAACCCTTCTCACCCTGCACCACGCGTGCCGATGCATAGCATACTGACGGTGCACAGTATGCCACGCCGACAGCAGACCTCCTGAAGGCAGAAAAGGAAGACGACCCCGACGATGTCATTTTCACCAACAACTATGGCGTGCGCAGCATCGAACTCAATCGGCCTAAGAAGCTCAACTCGCTCAATGGCTCCATGGTGCGCAAGATCATTCCGAGGATGCAAGAGTGGGAAAAGTCGGAACTAGCGGGTGTCGTTGTGATCAAAGGCAGCGGTCGCGCATTCTGTGCCGGCGGCGATGTCGCGGCATTGGCAGCGTGGAACCAGCAGGGACCAAAGGGACAGCAGAGGAGCGCAGACTACTTCGGCCTGGAATACAAGCTGGATCACCTGATTGCTACCTACACCAAGCCGTATGTCGCCTTCATGGATGGCATCACCATGGGTGGGGGCGTCGGACTGTCGATGCACGCGCCTTTCCGCATCGCGACTGAAAACACCGTCTTCGCCATGCCAGAGACCACCATTGGTTTCTTTCCAGACGTTGGTGCCTCCTTCTTCCTGCCACGCTTGGAAGGTGCGCTCGGTACCTACCTGGCCCTTACATCGGAGCAGCTCAAGGGTGTGGATGCCTTCCACCACGGCGTCGCAACCCATTATATCCACTCCTCCACTCTGCAGCAGCTCGAGGCACGTCTCGCCGAACTCCAGTTCCCCGACTACATGAGGCTCCACGAGCGCTTTAAAATCATCAATGCTACCATTGAGGAGTTCAGCACCGGCCTACCTACGGAGCGACCACATATCTCTGGTGAACTGCGCAGGACAATCGACAGTGTCTTCCACGTTGACCAGCCGGGAATCATGGACATCATGGCATCTCTTGAGAAAGTCAAGAAAACGCATGCAAACCCCGAAATCCAAACGTGGGCTGACAAGACCATTCAAACCATCAACAGTCGCTCTCCTATCTCTGTTGCTGTGGCTCTCAGGCAGATGCAGATCGGCCGCCAATGGTCTATCGCGCAAGCATTCCAGAGAGAGTACTCTATTGCTTCCAAGTTCATGGCTCACCCCGATTTCGTCGAAGGTGTGACAGCGCGCCTTGTCGAGCGCAAGAAGGAGCGACCCAACTGGAAGCCTAACACCCTTGATGAGGTCAAAAAGAGTCAGGTCGATACGTTCTTTGAATTTGGTAGGGAGCCGCCACTTCCGCTTATTAGCCAAGCAGACTACACGGAATACCCACATGCATGGATTGGGCTACCAAGAGAGGATGAGATTCTTAGGGAAGCAGCAGGCAAAAAGACCGAGGACGTTGTCGTCAAGTTGCTAGAAAAGTACGAGGGCAAGCAAGGTGTCAGGGAGAAAATTGCCGAGGTTCTTGACAGATTTCAAAAGTAGAAAGGTATCCACCTTGACCAAACCCATTGATCGGTTGTTTGAGTCCAACTGCTCGTATCAAAAACCCATACGTGCTGAATTTACTCAGCCTTGATTATTCACCAAATTTCTGGTTTCTGTTGTTTCTTGAAAACTCCACATCCTCTTCTGCACAGTTTTTCTTAACTCGTCTTTATTTCCTTACTAACATCATCCATCTAGAGGCTGGATTGATTAATCATGGCAAATTCACTTTTCTTCTCAGCCTGCACCATGCGGAAGACGCTACTGGGCTTTCTCTGGTATCCAAAGACAAAGGGCGGTATGCCAGTTTGTTCTTCCCACCAATTTTCAAAAGCAAAGTGCTACCATGAGCTTGATAAGAAGCAATTCCGAATCGCCAACGAAGGTGAGCTGTGCATGTGCTGGACCAATGCCACTTGGGCGAGCCTTCCGGTGAACATTACGGGTTGCATGCACCAGAAAAATACTATTGATTTCACAGGATTTTTGAACTTATCCACTGCTGCCTGAATGCCAAGTGTGCTGATAAGGCAGACTTGCTTCTTCTTTACATGCGTCATCGACGTAGCCCATGAGGCCGCTCTTTGGAAGAAAAGGAGGCAACACGAGGTGCTGCCTGCGGCAATAACATGTGGCAGTGAGATTTACTAGGGTTGTGGTATGACAAGATCGATGAGACGCCGTTATAAGCGCCAGGAACCGGTTCTGGTAAAGGGTGGGGGCTAAACGGCAGTTCTCTCCACCCACGCCATGAGTTTACAGCCCCCAAACATCATGGCATCAGCCTATTATCAGCCTCGCGCACCTAGCTATGGCTGCCTGCCTAGGATATTAAGCTTGAGTCGGCGTTGAATCTCCGCTCCACTGTCAGCTAAAAAGCGCGGTTCATCGCAGGTCCTCCCGGTGTGATTGGTTGTCTAAGCGTTGAGCTGAGGCTGTGACGGCGGTAAGCCATTGCCCAAATTAGGGCATGCCGCGGCTTAGCCTAAGTTACGATGGAAGGACTCAATCCACCTCCACACTCAGCTTGTGGCTGTGTGGTTCTACGCTTATAAGTGGTATTTTCCTTGCTGCTTGTTTTGCTGTATTGTCCCAATCTTTTCACACCGCACCATAGGGGAATTCACCAAAATCATTGAGCAAACCCACAACTATATTATATTGCAAGACCTATTGGCTTAACAGCGACTGGATTGGCCAGTCAAAATGTCGGCTATAGAGCGGCAACCGTTGTTGGATGAGAAGATTGCCCTCAATTACGAACGTCAGATTAGCGATGATGGGCTTGGATACACAAAAAGAGCTGCGAGAAGAAGCATAGGAGATACCCTCCGCAAGGCCGTTGTGTTGCCCTTGATCTGTGGGCTTGTTGCATATGGATCATATACCCTTTTCAGACAGCATCTCCGCTCAAACGTATCGTTGTCGTCACCACACCATCATTCCGGCTCCATCAACTACACTTGCCTACCTGGACAGTCTTGTTGGCCAACAACAGATGAATGGAGCGCCTTCAACAAAAGCATCAATGGTCATCTTAGACTGACTGTGCCCTGGGCCGAGCCATGCTATCTTGACTCGTCCAGTGAAAAGTGCAAAACCGTGGCGAAAAACTATGGTAATGGATTGTCGCGAACAAGCCAGTACGGCTCAGGGGAGTTCCTCGATTGGGAGAGATGTGGTGAATCGCAATGCGCCTTGAACTCCTTCAACACTTCAGATTCCGTTTCTGGTCCCTGTTCGCTCGGAAGATTCTCCTCATACCACGTCGAAGCCAGATCTGGAAGCGATATCAGTAGAACACTGGATTTCGTTCGCAAACACAATATTCGAGTCTCGATCAAAAACACTGGACATGACTATTTTGGTCGATCTACTACTCCCAATTCACTTGCCATCTGGACACACAACCTGAAGGATACCAAATTCCACAAGACTTTTCAGCCTCAAGGATGCAATACCCGCTACGAGAACATTGGTGAGATTGGTGCTGGCGTGCAAGCTCAAGAATCATGGGAAGCTTTTGAGCCACATGGCATGCTCGTTACCGTAGGTGCGTCGGCATCTGTTGGCATCGCCGGAGGCTACGGCCAAGCAGGTGGCCACGGACCGCTGGGACCCAAGTACGGGCTCATGGTTGACCAAGCTGTCGAGTTCGACGTCATCACTGCTGATGGTAAACAACACACCATCAACGAATGCAGTGATCCAGACCTCTTCTGGGCCATGCGTGGAGGCGGAGGCGGAACCTATGCAGTGCTCACATCATACAAGTTCCAGCTCCACCCAGCCGTTCCTATCAACGTATACTACTTCCATGCCAACTTTCCAGCACCAAAAAACATCTCCGAGTCGAAGATTCACCAAGATTTCCTGACTGCACTTGCCTCAAACCAAGCCCTCTTTGGCAAACATGGTATCGCCGGATACAACTTTGTGCTACCAGACCACGTAATATTTGTGCAAGTCATGCCATCCAACGATACCGAAGCGATAAAGACCATCACTTCGGAGTGGCGCAACCTTCTTACAAACATCCCTGGTATCGAAATCACCGCCGACGACTACTACTCATTCGAAAAGTTCTCCCAGTGGTACGACTTCACCGAGAAACCTGAGCTCGCGCGCAATGGAGCTGTCGGTCTGGGATTCAAAGGTGTAGGCCGCTTCATGCCACGCACTCTCTTTGAATCCAATCAGAGCATCGAGAAACTAGTAGAAGCAGTCATGACTTCAATGCAGTACTCGTACGCCAGACATGGCTCAGGAGGCGTGCAGCTATACGCTACGGGGCCTGACAACTTCCCGGATAATGGCAAAACGAGTGTTAATCCTATCTGGCGAGACTCTCTCTGGGAGATCGTCATGGGCCAGTTCTGGACCACAGCCACGCCGCCGAATACCCTGTCTCCAATTCAGGACATAGTCACCGCCATGGTTGAGCCGCTCAAGGCGTTGACGCCTGGCGGTGGATGCTACCTAAACGAGGGTGATTGGGCTGAGAAGAATTGGCAGGAGACGTTCTTCGGTGTTCAGTACGAGAGGCTGCTCGCAGTGAAGAAGCGGTACGATCCAACTGGCTTGTTCAATTGCTGGAAGTGCGTGGGCTGGACGGGATATGATGAGTAAGTTTCGTGACCCTAATGTTGCAAACAAAAAGCTAACTGGTGATAGCCCAATGTATTCTTGCTACTCGCAGTCTCGACATGCACCACTGCCATCTATACCGCTAGACCCTCTCAACAGGTAACCACAGAGCTCTGGTTAGCTCTCCTTCTCTATTCTTTTTTTTCACTGTTCCTCGAAGACTGGAACTCATTTTGAATGTACTGTAGCATGTCTTGGTCGTCTTTCCGCACCCAATTTCATCATTACTCCTTCTCTATTGAATCTTTTTGTCTTTCACTCGCAGCCGATATATCTATCTTGCGGTTTTGAGTACTCCGAAATGCGGAGACAGCCACATGAGACATAATTCTGTCAATGTTAGCTTAAAGTTTTACATCGCGGTCCAACGTTCACCGCAAGAGCTTCACACTTCATTTCAAGCACAGTAAAGTTTTCATGATGTTCCTCACCGTTTGACTTCATATACTCTCTCCTCACTTGCTAGTCTCCCATTGGTCGGACACTGTGATGTTTGCAAACGGGCCAGCTGCACGACACCGCTTCAGGATAGTATATAACTGACGCTCACCTCTACCTTCTTGATACACAAGTACGAATCAGCTACTGAGTTTTACACACAACACACACAATATCTCCTCAGACCACTTGAACACGAAGCCAACTACTCGACTCGACAAGAGCTTACAACAACACAAACACCCAACAAACGCATTGAAAGGCAGGTAACCATGTACTTCCCTGTCTTTGCTGTTTTGGCAGTACTCCCCCTTCTCACCGGTGCTCTTGGACATGGCCACCGCCGTTTCCAGGGCCGCGATGTCAAGACCGAAGTCGTACTTGTCACTCAGACGGTGTATACCACCATGATCATCGCTCCAACCCCCAACATCACTGCATCACAGGCACCCGTACTGAGCATCCTCACCGTCGGCAACCCAAGCACCATTGTGCAGATCTCCTCACCTTCTACCACTACACCCACAAAGCCGTCAACACCGCCCCCGAACCCATACGCCCCACTAGTCCCCACCCCTAACAACGCCAGCATCGTAAACTCATGCGACTACGACGTCTGGGTCTCCTCCATCGGCGGCCACGAAAGCTGCGGACCAGGCAACACAAACTACCTTGTACGCGCCAAAACCACATACACCGAGACCCTCCGCGTATGCAAGAACGCCGGAGTCTCACTCAAGGTAGCAAAGACAGTCGTGGGCCTCGCGAAACCCATGCAGTTCGAATATACCGTCGGGGCCGACAAGAAAAGCGTGTCCTACGATATCTCGTACCTGGACTGCATGGTCAAGAACGGCACGGAGGTTAAAGATGTCACAGGGTGTGTTGGGCAGGAGAATGGGATCCAGACTGCGGGTGGTGAGAATTGTAAGGGGTTCCATTGTGTGCCTGGGGTTGAGTGTGCGCAGTTGGCGTATACGGAACCAGAGTTTGGAGGCAGGTCTGAGGCGCCTGTCGGTGCTTGTGAGGTTGACGGCGGAGTGGCATTTGAGATTTGTGCTGGAAATAGGGGGTAAGTGAGAGGAATTGAGGACGAAAGAGGTAAGATGTAGTCCGACTTGGTACTCTATTTTGAATTTTGATGGCTTCTGGTTATAGAATGGGATGCTGACATTTTTTTCGTATAGGTGGAGGGTAGAGAGGAAGGAGGAGCGATATAATCGTCGGCAGTCTCTTTCTAGGTGCCGGCTGTTTTCTTTCTTCATAAGGGGAAATCATTTGCACATCGGCAAGCAACGCGAGTGTGCTGATGTATGATGATGTGTATTAAGTGCTTCTCCGGTGGCAGCAAGAAATAGTCTAGGTTATGGATTTCAGGGGACTTTGACTTGAGTATATAACTAAATGTATAAGTATACATGAAAGGTTGAGTGTTGTTAAGTCTTTTTTTCGTGGCGAGATTAAAGTACGTGGTGGGCGAGTTTGCTCACAACAAACAACCAGAGAGACTGCAGCTTGTTAGTAGGGTCAGCGGTTGTGTTGAAATTTGTTCAACCGCTTGAATATAGCAAATGGCAATTATACAAAAACAATAATCATAGTGTCTGAGGCGGTTTGACATGGATTTGGAAAGATGTGATTAGGCACGTGACCATGGACAATCTGTGGCTTTGGCATCAGTTCTGCTTTTTTCCAGCCTAACACACGAATTCTGTAATCTAGTGTCGGGACTTGTCGTTGCCATACCAACTGCACAGCATCCTTGACTCTGGTGCGGCCAAGAAGTGCCGTTGTCATGAGTGCCGGTTCCTAGTTAGCGTGTTGGTTCATCGAACCCTAGCGTACCCGTGTCCTCACCTGTGCCAACACACTCTGGCCAGACTCTACCGTATTGACTAGTCCACACTTCTCCGGCAAACTGTCCAGCCTGTTGGTGTTTGGAGGGAATAAAGTCTGGACTTGATGACGCAAGGATAACTGTTATCGATAAGACAAGTACCGAGCTAAACGCGTACTACCGCTTCCGTCGTCCACGCCCGCGTTTGGGGCGAGGAAGCCGAACGCGCCATTTGCACCAGCCTTTTGCAGCATGCGATGCACTGCGCATGTTAGCCAACATGTCTGTCCCAGAGTCGGAAGTACTAAAGCCGCTGGACGCCTCCAATACCAATTCAGATGACTGGGAGATTTTCGTTCTCAAGGATGCGCACATCACATATGAGAGCAATGGAAAGCCTGCCAGCCTGCTCACCGCGTATGCGGATACCCCGCTCAAAGTCGAGGGGCACCTAAAGATGCCTGGGCGCAGCCAGTTAAAGTATCGTACGTAGATCTGGATGCCATGAGAAGCGCATCAGTGGAATAGCGTAGTCAATTGACACGGTCGCAGTCCTCAAGAAGCCTTATAACCCCACTGACATCGAGATACGGAACGTGACACGCTTCTCGTACGGCGAAATGACAGATGGCGCATACGTTATATGGGCCCAAGGCAAAGCAGGCTGGTTCGAAATTCAACCTGCGCCCCAGTATAAGCCTATCTATGACGAGATGATTCAGGCTGTCGAGCTATTGTACTTTGTGACGGATATTCACAGTGAAGTGCGGAAGAAGAGTGGAGGACCCAGTGCTGAGCTCATTTTTCAGGAAGTAAGTGCAACACGGATATCTACAGCTAGCTCCAAAAGCCTGCGCTGATTGAGCAGCATTATGAGATATACAGGCTGATTCATGTAGTACGCGGAAGACAAACGCTTCTCTTGTGACGACATAGCCATGGCAGAGGAAATCTTCGACAAGCATCACATGTTCCTGATGATGTGCTTCTTAAACAGGGCGCAGGGCTTTAGCTGGAGTAACACTCCTATTTACCAGCGCTTTAGAAGAAGATTTCCGGTAAGTGATATTCCAGCCAACCCTGGACTCAATCTGATCTGCGAATAGAAAGACTTTGACGACTGCAAAGCACGCATTGAGGGGCGCTATTCCCAAATCCAAGCCGAACGCTCGCCGACAAGGTCAAAGTCAAGGTCTACGCCATCCCGCACTTCAAAGCAAGCAGCTACACCTGGAACGTCACGGCATACTCGGAGGAAGTCTGTGGGGTCAAAAACGCCGGACGCGCCGAAGAAGAACGATAATTGGTGGGAAGCCGCGGCACTTTTTGAATTTATGCAGAAAGCAGTAAACCAAAGAGTTGTACGCCCAGGAAGAAATCAAATAACTTTGGATCGGGTTGCAGAGCTGATTGTTAGGCGTTATGAGATTGACGAAGTGGAGACTGCAAAAACAGTCCTACTGGTACATGCGCAGAATCTCTGTTACATGATGGACCATCCGCGGAGAAAAACTGTACAGTTCTTCGCAAATGAGCCAATATATCAGGAACTAGAAGCTGGACATGACTTATCCGCAGCCGAACAAAGACGAGCAGAAGACGTCGAGCTCAAACCACGGAAAGATCACGCAAGGCTAAGAGATGGACAGAGCGATTCGTCAGATACATCTGACGAAGAAGATGAAGATGAACTGCGGACGCCCGTTCGACGATCAGGCAGGCGGAAGAACGGCCGCCTGTCAGTTCTGCGACCAAAAACCGGCAATTTCTCCGGCAAGAGTAAACGTGTGATCATCAAGCCAGGCAAACAAATAGCCGGTAAGGGTAAAGCACCTGTAGCAGCCAGTGACACCTCATCGGAATCACAAAGCGAGAACGAAGCAAATAGCTGTTCAGACCTGGACATGACCGATACGCCAACCCAAGCCCTATCGCCAAGTCGCGAGAAGAGAAAATTGAGCGACACAGACATGGAGCACGAAGCAAAAGATGCTCGAAGCAAACGAAGAAATAGCAACTCTTTAACCCCTTCCTCTCCGCCCACAACAGACGATTTCGATTCCAGTGAAGCAGACGGAGAAGCCCGCAGTTCTCTACCCCTTCCCCTCCGACACCTTCCCGCATCAGTATCAGGCGACAGCAAACCCAGCGTCTCTCCTCAAATCGTATCCACCCCGCTCCCCACCTACGAAGCCAACGGACCCCGCGACTCGTGGCTCTGCAGCTTCGACGGTTGCACCCAGCGCATATACGGCTGCAGTAAAGAACTCGGTCGCCAGCTCATCACCGAGCACTTGGAAGACCACAGTCGCGGGCGCGACAAGGTGGTGGGGATTCTATGGCGAGAACAAAATAAGCTGCATTTACCTGTTAAGTAAGTTTTTTCCCAATATGCTAGAAGAGGCGAAATGGAGTTTTTGTGGGATGAGAGGCTAATCACTGGGAACTAGTAATTTGATTAAGAAGATTAGGGAAATGAGTGAGGCGAGTAAGCCGTTGTTTCCGAATCAGCAAGAGAATGTGAAGGGAGAGAAGGTCAAGCCGATTGAACGGCCGGTTTGAGAGGGAGATGTGGGGGGTTAGCATATATTGAAGATATGGGGGTGCTGTGTGGATACGCCTCGTTCTTCTCTGAGTTTAAGAATAAGCATTTTTTGTCATTCTTGCCTTTCTTTTTTTGCTTCGAGATCTCTCATTTTCTTCCTCTTTGAAAATTCTTTTCCTCTTCGCCCCCGCTTCTTCGCTGCTTTCTATGCTGGGTTGCACATCTTCCAAGTCCACTTCACATATTTCCAGTATCACACTTGCGTCTTCGTATACTTTCCCAGTGTCCGGATCAACGTGCCATTTTGGATGCGGAAAAGGGAGTGCGTGGAGTGGAGTTCGGAGAGCACTTTCTTCATATCGGGTGTCGAGTGCGAGGGGAAGACTACACGATGTAGGATGGGTTTGCGTATCGTCGCGGTGGTGTTGTGAGGGTACTGAGGGTGTGGACGATGAGGCTGAGGCCCAGGCCGAGGAAGCGCTGGGTTCTGGGGAGAGCATGAGAAATGTGTCTGCGTATATTGTCGTCTTGATTGTCGTGTAAACCGGCTTGTTGATGCTGAGACAGAGTTCGTTGCAGAGAGCAAGGATGAGAATGTATAATCCGAGGGAATAGACGTCAACACTGTATAGCGAACAGAAAATCAGCGAACATGCGGACTTGGGGTTGTTGTCTTTACTAAATGTCCAAACGTGAATTGTGGCCTTTTCTTTGTTTGTCCGGAATTAGGCTTGGAAGGGATGAGGGCGTCACTGATGAGGACTGCTTCCAGCACACATAAATATCTGAAACCCTGTAAGATGATAAAGCTTCTTATTCATAAATATCCAATTACTTTTAAACGCTGATTGTCTTGAAAACATTGAATCCTGACCCGCCGGTAGCCATGATAGCGCCCGGAATTTGCGGGTGCCAGTGTGCCTCCTTGATCTGCTCCATGTAGTGCACAAATAGCAGTTGTGGTGGTACGTCTTGCACTCCTGCTGTGTATTTGCTCTCCTCGTCATCGAGCTCGACGGCAAGATCCCACAATGTGAGCGTGTTGTCACCGGCGCAAACAAGCACGATACTGTCGTCTGTAGGGTGCCACTCGACAGAGGTGATTTGCTCTTTGTGGAATGTGTAAGATGCGACGGGCGAAGGCTTCTTGTCGCTGGACATGTCGGTGGACGGCTTCCATTGTCGCAAGTCCCATACTGCCCATTCGCCATCGTCGGCGCCAGAAGCAAGAAGATGAGCGGTCTGATGCGACCAGCTGAGTACGTTGACATCAGTCTTGGATGCTTGAACACTGAGCACTGGTTTCCGTGACTTGAATCGAGTATCCCAGATTTTGACTGTGCCGTCGCTTGATGCTGAAGAAAATACTGTCTTCTCAGTTGGAGACCATTGCAGCTCCTCGACTGAGCCCTGGTGGCCGGTGTAAGGTGTGGTATCAGTTACGAAACCTCCGCCTTGCGTCCTAGTTGTTGCGAATATCTTTCCAGCGCAATCAGCTGTGATAAGCTTGCCTTCTGGTATCAGAGGGGACCAGTCTAGCGCATAACCCTCGTTTGATCCGTGAGCTCGGATGGTGCAGACTGGCTTATTTTGCGCGGGAGAGATGGTGGTGCCGGGTGTGTCGAAAGAGGTGAGATGTGGGGTGACGTCGTGAATGAGAACCTGGCCCGACTCTGTCATGGCAGCTGTGAGAGTCGTTGGAGGTTGCGCAGATGTGGCTTGTGGCGTTTGGTGTGCTCGTATACGGTTCGTGCAGCTCGTCAATGGTATCGACTTGGTCTCCAATATGGGATCGGATGCCTCATCATCCGAATCCGAGTCCTCATCTTCTTCGTCTTCCTTCTCCATGCGCGACAAACTGCTCATTTTCATGACCATAATCTGGTTCTCCTTGTCCCTTCCTCGTGCTGCTTGTGTGCCGGCGACTGCGTATACAGTTGCGGGATATGTTTTGCGATCTGAGCCTAGGTTGTCGGGTACAATGTCGCAGGACAGACAGGGCCATGGCGCTTCTAGAGTATGCAGCATATCGTATGTTGAAAGATCAGGGTTCAGCGTCTCCCCAGGGGAGAGTTTGTGGCGTCCAGGAATAAATGTGCCTAGAGAAATAGTCAGCAGCGTGTCTAAGTATGGCATATAAACCTCTCTGACCTTTGTCGATGTCCATGCCATTCTCGCGCTCTTCAGCCTCGCGCTCCTCATCTGGCCGTCCGTCTACTCCTGCTTCGAGAATCTCATCCTCGCTCTCGAATTCATCCTCAAATTCATCCTCGAATTCGCCTGCCTCATTCTGTGCGTCAACTTCCATGGGCCGCTCGCCATTCTTGATAGCCTCCAGCTCTTGCTCTGCCTCTGCCGCTCGTTTTGCCATGTTTTATGTCTGGATATATTCTTGCGTGTGGTTGTGCTGGGGCGAGTCGCAAAAAAAAGTCGCACAAGTGTGAATTGGAAAACGAACTTTTTGAATAGTAACGCGATAAGCGGCTTATCGAGCACCAGCCACAGCAGCCCCTCGCAGTGGCTTGTGGCTTGGCGAACCAGGACACGGCGAGCCATCAGCGCTACCCCATGATACCCAATTGCATCGCGGCTAGCACTCAGTCAACAAGTCGACTTCAGCTCACAACACACACACCCCTTTTGTCCCCGAATGCCCTCTCACGCGTGAAATTGGCCCTGCAAACTCCTCGAACGTCGCATCTGCCGGGTTTTCCTTGTCTGTTGCTCTCGACGCGTGCGCGCCCTCAGCTCTCGTTGCTGCCGAATACATACCGCTAGAAGTCGCTGCCATGGAAGAGTACTCGAGTCAGGCGCCTGTGCCAGAAACACTCCCCCAACATGTTCAGGTGCCGCCGGAGCAACTGGGGCCTAGCCAGCTGCAGCCTGAACCCGTACCTGTTGATGAACACGAGGCGCAAAAACACATGGACCAGACCATGGACACGAATGATGACAGCATGGCCAGCACCATTACCGCCAACACCGTCACACCGCTACCAGATCCAGCCCAATCTAACAGCCTCAACAACAGCCCTTCCCCATACGGACACGACCCTCACCGACCATCGACGTCATACTCAGACACCGCCTACCAGTACACAACACACAATGGCTCGCGCTTCACTACATCCTCAGATGCCGATACTCCTCCGCGGCACGGCTACTACGACTCCAGCAGAGAGGCACACGCCGGCCAATCGCACTCGCGGCCTAGCTCACAGATGGGACGGTACCCGACTTCAGAGGGCGGCGCCCGCTCAAACTCATACCAAGACCAACAACGGAGCGCACAACAACAGCAGGAAGCAGTCAAGAATGCCAGCGTGGTCATCAAAGTTGGCATGGTCGGAGACGCGCAAATCGGAAAGACCAGCCTGATGGTCAAGTATGTCGAGGGTAGTTGGGACGAAGACTACATCCAAACATTGGGTGCGTTACACCATGCTTTTTCTAGAAGTTGCAGTTTCTGACACGCGCAGGTGTCAACTTTATGGAAAAGACCATCTCGATCCGGAACACCGAAATCACATTTTCTATTTGGGATCTAGGTGGTCAACGTGAATTCGTCAACATGCTGCCATTAGTCTGCAACGATGCTGTCGCGATACTCTTCATGTTTGATCTGACGCGCAAGAGCACCCTCAACTCGATCAAGGAGTGGTATCGACAAGGGCGCGGCTTCAACAAGACTGCTATCCCCTTCTTAGTCGGCACAAAATACGATCATTTCGTCAACTTTCCCCGAGAAGAACAGGAAGAAATTTCTAACCAGGTACACACGATGTTTGGATCTTGGATGTCAGCCTAGTATGCTAACAAGGCATAGGCTAAACGGTTTGCACGAGCAATGAAGGCTAGTTTAATCTTTAGCTCAACAAGTCACAGTATCAACGTGCAAAAGGTAGGAAATCAACATGTTCAGAGTCGGATGTGTGCTGACTTTGTCTCAGATATTCAAGATTGTGCTATCGAAAGCGTTCGACCTCAAGTGCACTATTCCTGAGATAGAAAACATTGGCGAGCCACTTCTCCTCTACCAGGCCGTCTAGTCGCCGGACCGACGAGTGAGACCCCGGACAGAAGGGACGCGGATGAACCTGTCTGAGAGGCAGATGGGAAGCGTCTTTTATCGGAACGTTACCACGAGCGAATGACTTCATGATTGATTTGCGTGGGATTGCATGGCCCTGGCGATTGGAGCACGGAGCTATACATATATGTCGGGCACAAAATTTGGCGTTCTTCTGCTTTGTATTCGCAGAGGCGCTTGTAAAGTTGGAGCCATGAGAGCTCAACTGGGACAATGGAATGAGAGCGTTGACTTGCACAGGCGGCGCAGCCTTGCAGCATAGTATACTATAGTCTAATGAAGAGTCGCGGGATAGCTGTACCTGTTAGTATGTATGTTTACATGGTACGTGACTTTGCAACGCGTGCCAGGGGTAAGTTTAGGCGAATGACGTAAGCTTCCGCAACTAAAAGTTCGAGACGTGCGCAAGTAACTTTGGTCAACACTTTAGTACAACCATCTGTGCGCGCACATGCTAGAATAAGAACGAGTTCGCATCCAATACAGCGCGCGTTCGAGCATGCTATAGTAACTCAAAAGCGGCTTACCAAATCCCGACTAGTGGTTCCAAAAAAAAGCACTCCATCAGGTTCTTCGCATAGCAGACGTTTTAATACGCGACCACATCAAACAGCATTCTTTCTTGTTCTCCACACACACACACGTACGCACAATGGCACTACCATCGATAGCCCTGCCGGGCCAGCTTCTCGGCAGCATTGAAAAGTATTCTCCGGGCCCCGGAACGCACATTTATGAATCGCAAATCTACGCCTCAATAGCAGGACCAGTGGTATCCGTAGGCTCAGCACCACAACCGATAGCAGGAAGCAACAAAACTAAGCTACCACCTCTCGTCGCGATAACCCGGCCGCCCAGCTTCAGCGACCCAGGCATCCTAGGCCCCAACTCGGGGGGCGGTGTGCCCCTGTTGCCCACGGTCTCCAGCACAGTGCTAGTCCGCATAACGCGTTTGGGCCCACGCTTCGCCTCGTGCGAGATCCTCGTCGTCGACGACGCCGTATGCCGCGAAGCCTTTCTCGCGCAGATCCGGCGCGAAGATATTCGCGCAACGGAAAAGGACAAGATCAAGATTGAGGAGAGTTTCCGCGTTGGCGACTTGGTGCGCGGCACCGTGATTAGTCTGGGTGACAGCGGAAACTACTACGTTGCGACTGATCGAAATGAGTACGGCGTTGTACTTGCTAGGAGCGAGGAAGGGCGCGTCATGCACCCCGTTAGCTGGAGGGAATTTAGGGACCCAGTCAGTGGAAAGACGGAGTTGAGGAAGGCGGCGAAGCCGTTTTGAAAGAGTCTTGAGATTGTCTGTATAACGTATACCCACTCCCTTCCTTCTTGCCGAGAAGGGACCCTCCCCAAAATAAAAAACCAGCATACTACTGTCTTCAAGATACGAGATGGATCTGCAATTACTACCTCGTATATTCTCACCGCCCCCGATCCATCCACCCATCCATCCACCCATCCATCCATCCCACATTGCCTATATCAAAAAAAAATCTCCTATTATGCAAATCAGGGTCACCCGTTTGAACGGGAATGACTTGCATTTCTTCGCCCATCTCCGCGTCTAAGAAAAGCACGCACTACTTACCCGCAACACACAGGCACATGCTCAACCGTCCCCCCTCCCCCCCAACCAACCAACCAACTAACTACTGTTTCACCCACGCAAGCAT